TCCAGCTACTCCTTCAGTTCTCTGCGCTCATGGACACAATCATTTCCTAAGAGTAATCTATAGCCACTGTCTCCAAATCCTCCCTCCATTTTCTCCAGACAGGCTTCTGTCCCCACCACTGCGCCAAAACTCTTGTTGGATTTTACTTCCACATTGCTAAGTCTAGTGGTTTGTTTTGCGTTCTCATCATACTGACTTGACTATTGGCTGTTTTTGATGTAATGCGTCTCTCCATCCTCCATCAATACTTTCTTCACTTTATTCCAAGACATCTACCCCCCTCCATCTTCCTCCTACCTCACTGGTCAGTCTTCCTTTCACTTCTTTGTTGGTTTTTCCTCTTCTTGCCAACTGCTTAATGTTGAAATGCTCAGACTTCAGTCTTTGAGCTGCTTCTTCCCAAGTTCATGTCTTAAAATGTTCCCTGTATGCCAAAAACTCCCAAATGTACATCTGTAGCCAAGATGATGGCGTCTTCTCTTTTATGTCTGGAAGAGGTCTGAAATATGGCACATCCAAACTGAAATCCTGATCTTCCCCTCTTCCACCCAATGTTCCTGGTTTGTTTAATGGCAGTGCTATTCTTCTGTTAGCGCAAGACATAAAGCTTGTAGTCACCTTGATGTCACTCTTTTTTCTGACACCTATTGCAAGCACATCTAGAACATTGTGTAGGCAACACCTTCAGAATTTTATATGTAGTCATGTAACTACCTATTTGAACATAATACTATAAAAAAATCCTAAAATTCATTTCTAAAAATTTAAGTCTCAAGATGTTTCACAGTATTTATGCTATTCTTTCATGTGAATTAGCTGCTTTATTTCCCCCTAGTCCAACTAAACTGACCATTAAAAGGGGAGAAGCTGGCATTCTCTTTGATCCCCTGCACTCCACTTTGCAAACAGTAGGCGTTCAGCCAATCTATGGAATAAGAATATAAGATCTACATGTGTACCGTCTGTTACTCCTTTTAGCGTCAGAAATTAAAGTTAATTCAAGTCTCCAGTTGTTTCAGGTTGTTTCTATAAAGTAGAAAGTAACAAATTAAAGCCGCATATCTTTTACGAATAGGAGAATGCTCATTTCAAAAGATACCAATTAGCTTGTGTCTGTAAGGAAACTGTATTGAGTCAGATACCAAAGCTTATTGTTCAAGTCACTAGGACATGGAATTTATTACTAAGATAGCATTGTAGTCAGCGACAGTAGGAATATTGTGCTACTTTTCCTATATCGATATCAAATTGCATCCCAGCTTTACTCTGGGGGTTTTTCCAGCATTTTGTTTGTTGAAGCTTTGTGGCCAACAATAAATCATACTGTTGCTGCTGTGGCCTCCTGTGCCTGCTACATGTAGGGCTCTGCCTGCAATCTCTTACGGAGCCATGTTTCCATCAAGCCTTGGGACTAGCTCCTTTTTCATCTTGTTCGTTTTGGTGTCTCCGGATAGCATTTTATATGTAGGAGGTACTCAATAAATGTTTGGTGATTGTTGACCAAGCGAATAAATTACTTCCCGTGATCTTGTTTATTTTTGGTAAAGCCAGTCCATGTTTATAAAGAATGACCCTTATTCTTTAAAATAGGTTTCTCTTTCTCTCTCACTCTCTTTTAAAGGAGACAACTCCCTAGTTTGCAATGTTACTTTCCACAATCACAGTGTAGGCAGAACAGAGATTGTAATCTAAGTTCCTGGGCACAGCTGGCAAGCTAATGGAGTTCCGGCAGACTGAATACATTCTATAACCCATCCCAGAAAGAGACGTCCTCTCTTTGTAGTGGTGGCCTGTAGCACAAGATGAAACACCTGAGCAAGATAATGCATGTTAGCATTGCTTATGTGGGGCGATGACTACATTGGGCAAATACATTTCTGTTGCCCTGCCATACTTCTTGGTGTCTAAATTCACTCTCACCTTGTTGGAATCGCTGTAGATGTATGTATAGGACAAAGTCCCTTTCACTTGGGGCCAAATAGCTGTCGTGATAAACCAGATGTGGAATATTGCAGTTGACAGAATTCTGAAAGGTAAATACCAGGCTTCTCGGGTCGAATTATATTTCATGATGAGTTGTATTTCCCTTCAGAGAGTCCACTGAGAATTTGCATGTGTTCTCTTGGCTCTGGTCTCTTGTTTCCTTGTCTGTCGTTCTGAGACATTTGCCCTGCCACTCTGACAGTTTATTGCATCTCACTCCGATTTTAAAGGTTTCCATCCCAATAACTGAAGGCCTGGACTTGATTGCCATGTTGACGGATGATGCGACAATTGCCGCCTGGAATAATGAAGGACTGCCCAGTGACAGAATGTCCACTGAAAATGCCACTATCCTGACACACTGTGTGCGCTGGCCGTTCATGATAGACCCCCAGCAACAGGGAATTAAGTGGATCAAAAATAAGTATGGAACTCACCTGAAAGTCACACATTTGGGCCAGAAAGGGTATGTGAAACCTGAAGATTGGTTTTCTGTGTAGCTGCTAGGAAATGGGTCTGATGTATACAAAGTCCTGGCATTTGTTGGACCTCACTGCCACTCTGAATGGTGACAACTTGGTACTATTTGTTTATCTGCCTACTCATGTTGCACATAGAATATCACTATTGAAAAGGCATTTATGCTGGGCAGCATCCACTTACACGAAGAGGAACTTAGATTGGAGGTTAGAATAAACACTGCATTTGAGAGGAAAAATATGTTGATTTCCTAAGGCCAAGAATGGAAATGTAATGTATGATAATCCTTCTTTAGAGCGTTTAGCACATGGTAACTCAAGAATTGTCAACTGCACACATAGGCTTAATGAGGTTTACAGTCAGATTCCTAAATATATACTTCGCTTTCAGTAGGATTTTAACACAGCTATAAGTCCCAATATTGAATGTTTGAAGATAATTTAATTCCTTCATCAAGTTTTACATGTTGCTTTTGAGAACGGAATCTACCCTGAGATTTTCTGTTATTGGGTCCTCATCGCAATGCTGTCTGATAAGTAGAAAGCTGTCTTGTATGTAGCTGGATAAAGAAATAATTCATTGTTGAATAAATAATTTTGCTTACTGCTATTTCGTTTGACCCCTCCATCATCTTCCACATGCAAAATGAAATAAGGAATGTCTGCAGTGGTGCAGATAAACGTACCCCTTGCTTATCTGATACTTGAAGAAAATTAATTTCGAAGAAGACTATTTTTGAAGAGTAGGAATAAAATAAAATGATAGTTCACCACTTCACATGACTGAACCTAAAAGTTTAAAAAAATGAAAATTTGATATAACCACAAGGCATCTAATATAATTTGAAGTTTTTTATCAAAAAAGACCTATCGAATGAATTAAAATTGAAATTTATGGTGTTAGAGAGTTACATTTATTTCAGCCATGATTATTATCAAAAGTAACTAATTTGCGCATGAGCTTATTAGTTCAAACTGTCGAAGTTCACTTGGAAAATATAACTAAAATTTATCTCAAAATCTAATCTTTAATTTCTATGTAATCTAGTTAAGAATACTACTTTATAAAATAGGTTTTTCTAAGTTAGTTTGTCTCATTTAAAATATCTACATTAAATTAAATATAATTTAACACAAATAATTTTGAATGTTTTCCCTGTGCTTATTTATGTTTTATTATCTCCATTCTGACTGAATTTTAAGGTTTTTGAATGTGATTGAAACTGCTTTGGCCTTTGGAGATGTCATCTTAATTGAAAACCTTGAGGAAACAATAGACCCAGTCCTTGATCCACTGCTTGGCAGGAACACAATTAAAAAGGGGAAGTAAGTATTTCTGAACTGTTAACATATATTTTGTGCTACATACACGTTAGATCATCAGCTTTTATTTCTTAACCTCATACTAAGCACAATCTATTGAAATCTTTTTGGTGCTATTTCTGAGTTTCCATTCCATGGAACCTACATTCCAAGACCACAGCAACTTCAATATGATCTGTTCTTTCAGACAAGTTTTTGGTGGATTTAGATTCATGTTACCCAATTCCTAAAATGCATTGTCACAAATCTGAGAGTAGTTGCTCCTTTATTAGTTTATACTAGTGCTTTTCTAACTTCATTACTTTCAAAAAACACCGTTAGTTTATTTGCCTGAACTGCGTATCACTTGTATCCCTATTTACTTAATATTTTTCTTCAAAAACAATTTTAAGCCCACTCACTATTTTTTTAAACTTCAGTCTCATCGCAAGTAATAGCATCCACAAAATCTTGGGTTACTGTGTTCTATTTTTTTTCTAATACATTTAAAATATAACAATTAAAAAAAAAGTGTTCATTAGTGGATCCCTAAAGTCACCCCCCATCCCAGCAGTGGTGGGCTACCAACTAGTGGGAACCTGCCCTGTCTGTGAGCTCTGTGGGCCGTTCTAAATGGCTGCCATTCTCCAGGGACACTGAAGCCATTTTCAAGGAGTCATCATAAATGTGTTAAAGGTCAGGGGCAGCAATTATGGCTCTCACCATGCCACATGGCCTCAGGAGAGATTGTGATATCCCAAAGGCTCTTGGTGCCTCTTCATTCAAGAAACCAGCATTCGCTAGATTTATTTTGCTGGATTTCATTCTCTCTCTTTTTTTTTTTTCTTTACAGAGTTCTAATTTTAGAACTTCCCCAACCCCCTTCTTTGACACCCACTCTCTGCCTCAAAGTTACCTGTCTCCTTTTTCATCACTGGATTATTCCTGTCAATTTTAAGTGGAAACAGGCCCACTACTTATGGATGACTAACTTCTGTTTTTTAAATAGTCTCTAACCAATGACTATAGTATGTATTATACAATTCACCAAGTAAATCCATTTACAGTGACTGACAACTTATAATTGTTTAATAAACCAAAATTTACCCAGACATGCATTTAGAACAATCTAATAAGCCACTTGACAAACTGCAACTCTAACATAAATATAATTGTAGCTGTATTTGATGTGTTAAAAATACAGTGTAATATCTGGAATGTCACTAAAGTGAAATCCTTGTTATTAAGGTTCTGACTCTATTATGAAGGCCTAAAATTTTTTGTCAGTGAAATACATATTCTCTAGCTGTAACTTGGACTTTCAATAACACAATTTAAGTGTAAAAAATTTGGTAACTCTCTATACTATATTGTATATTTATTTTTTGATAATCTGAAATTTTAGAGACTGATAAATTTGAGTCATGATTTTTCCTCAATATGAATGTAGTTAAGTATCAGTGAGAATCCCAGAGGTCTTTTATTTTCAAAGCAAATTATTTTACATAGAGCATCATGTCTTTATCCCAAAATATCAGGCCGGAACAATTTATTCCAAATAAAAACAATATTTACTGAATATATGTGCTCTATTAGGCTTTATAGAGCTGATCATATCATTCCAACATTGTTTTAAAAGGTCAAGAGAAATTAAAATGAAATGTAAGAATATAACAAATGCTGCTTATTTCTATGCAGTTATTATCTTAACAATCCTAGCTCCTAAATTCTTATGTGCGAAACAGCCACTTGTATGAGGGTATATTTAAGACCCGTATCTCCAGTTTTGCTCACTCCTCTTCCCCATGCAGACGTTTTTAGAATATTTTTACCCAGAGGATCTGAGTGCTTGTGGAGTCCTTATATAGCCTATATTCTTTCAGCCACTGAATAAACCTTCTCTGAGCGCTGCTGTATGCCAGGCATTGTATTCAGGGCTGCAAGTTCAAAGTATGATGAGGTATAGACCCTGCCCCTACAGAAGCCACCTTTCCCTAGGGGAAAGACAGACCTATAAACAATAAAAGGAATACAGTGCCATTGGTGAGATGATAGAAGTATGCATGGCAGGGAGTCGTCAGTCCCATAGTGGAGACTTGGCAAGGCTTTATGGGAAAACAAATTAGATTTTGTTACATTGACATTTAATGTGAGTTTTGAAAGATGAGTGGACTTTTGTCAGATAGACAAGTGGGAAAAGAGAGTGGGAGAAGGGAATCCTGGAATGAGAGAACTAATACCAGACAGCAAAACACATGAAACAGCCCAGCATCTTTGGGGAACTGCAAATAGGACCCAAAGCAGTGACAAGTTTTGTGTTGGGGAGGAAAAGAGAGGAGTAGGGAGACATGAGTGCCCGGGGAGAGGTGAACCTGGAGAGGTTAGCGGCGCCCAGAACATGGATGTCCTTGGTTGGGCACCCACAGATGATCATAGATTTGCCTTTTCCTATAGATTGATAATTCCTTTTATTCCTCCCCCCCAAATACACTCAAGGATCCCATTCCTGTCAGTAACACTAGTTGACAGTAGCAGTGGTTTTCTACCAAAGAACCATGCCTTTCTGGATAACAAATCTGGAGTCTCATATTTTCACTTGAGAGTCATGAACATGAGTCAGTGGGGAAGCTAGTGAAGACTGAAGCATGCTGGGAGGAATGCGGATCAAATTTATGTTTCTGAAAGGTCACACTGCTGGTGGTGTGAAGTATTGATTAACAGGGCATGGAGCTAGAGCCAGGAGCCTAATTAACAAACATTCGCAGTAATCCAGCTGAGACCTAATATAAGCCTAAATTAAGGCAGTGACTGTAGAGATAGAAGAGGACAAACCAAAGAATTTGCAAGGCATTCATACCATCAGTTCATGGTCCTTAATTGGATATTTTTGGTAGGGAAAAAGGAACTTTTAAGGGTGATTGCCAGTCTTCTGCCAGTTTAAATGACGGTGTGGTTTCTGGAGAGATGTGATATAGGTATAGGATTAAGTGTAGGGAAATATTTCACTTAGACTTTCAAAGGTTGAGGTGCTACTTTAACATACGTTCTCATAAAAGAAGTCTAATGAGCCTTTGGACATGTGAGTATGGAGCTTAATAAGGAGACCTTGGCTGAACATGTAGACTGGGAAACATCTGCACAGGGACATAGGTCAGCCATTGTGGTAGATGTGACGCTATCAACAGAGATGCTATACAGTCAAAAGAACAGAGGGTGCACTTACTTCACAGATGAGAAAAATGGGGACTGGATGAGCTTAGGTAATGTCTTCTTGGATGCTCTATGATTACTTGAAATTTAATATGTGGAAACCTAATTTCTTAACTAGCTTTTCCAAATAAATAGGCATTACCATCTTTCAGTAGAAATCCTATGAATGCTACTTTGCCAAACTAACTTACTCTTTCATTCCACCCCACCCCCACCCCCGCCTACACCTTGTTGTTTTCCCATCAACATTTTGGAATCTGTGTCTTGTTTTCATATCTATACCTTATGGTGTAGTTCAGGCCTTTTGTTTCTTTATGCTGACAGAAGTAATTTCTTTGCATCCTTTCTCTGCTCACTCCTCTCCAACCCAGAGAGTGGTTAAAATAATCTTTATCCTAATATTGCTTCTATCGTAACTCCCCTGTTGAAGAATACATTAAAAATCTCTAATGCCCATCACATTGAATTGAATTGAGGCTCTTCTATTAAGCCTGCGAAATGCTTTATCTGTTTGATACTTGGACCTCCCTTCGCCAACCTCATTTTTCATTACTTCACATAGGTATCCCCCGTCCCATGACGTGCTATTTTACTTTTCTTTCTACAAGTACCAGTCACTTAAATGCAACTGCTATTTAATCAATTAAATGGGAGTTTTAATTTTCCACAACTAATGCCTCCCACACATAGTATATTCTATACTGTATCGTTGTGTCATTTTGCCTTATATGTCTCTCTCACAGTGTACTTAAATTTTTTTCATTCCTATGTATCCTAACCAAATTACAGGTTTTCTACAGATAAGAATCATATATACCATGTGCCTTTGAAAAGGTGGTTAAACGAAATAAAAACTAAACAATTAAAACATAGACTTTTGTTTCTGGCACTATGTAAGGTTAGATATGTGAATACTGAAAGACAACTAAATATGTTAATTAATATATTAAAAACACCTTTCGTCACCTGGCTGACAATAACAACAACGAAAAAAGTATGACTAAACAGCAGGAATCAGAGAGACAAGGAACACCAAAAAGGGTTTTCTTTCTGATGGTACTGGTTAAAACCTGTTGACCTTGGGTTTCTGTTTTGATGGATATACAGAGCGAGGTTGGACCAAGGCTGGGGCTATTCAGGGTGTAAAGTCTGTTAAGAGATTCCTGTATAATGATAGAGCCTCAAGGTACACCTTTTTTTAAGGGTAAATTTGTTTAAAATTAAACAACAACAACAAAAATACTAGCACTAGAGAAAGAGGTAGGAAGAGATGGGAAAATATTCTCATTGGGAAGAGGTGGGAAAATATTCTCTGAGAATTCCTAACCAGAAACCATTCTTAGGATTGTTCAAGACAGATTTTTACTACTTGTATACACTGAAAACCTCAAACCAATAACTTAATTTAAAGTGGCTTTGGATGGTCATACCCTAATGCCCTTGGCAAACAAAAATCCTGTCTGGAATAATGTACATAAAATGCAGACATTAGAGGATTGTGAAAGATCCCAACATACATGAGCTCACAAGCAAAAATCACAGAACACACAAGGAAACATGGCACCATGAGCAAAAGCCAATAGAAGCATCAAATAATAGAATCCTTATCTCATTGCTGCTTTATTTTATATTTTTTGAATGTTAATAAGTATATGTTCATTAGCCTTCCATGACTTGTCTATTGTTAACTTGTATTTTTTCCATTAGGTTTCTCATCACTTTCTTTAATTCTTCAAAATTTTTTTTGCTTTTACTCATTGTACACTTTCTTGTTTTCCAACATAATTTTGAATTCATTTTTTCTTTGGCCATGT